CTTCATGGTGGACACGAGAGGTGCAACTGGCAGTTAAAGAGAAGAAAGCAGCGTTCAAAAAACGGCTTGGAAACAAAGAGCATTCTACTCGCGTGCGATATGTCGAGGCACGCAAGGCAGCAGCCATAGCAGTGGCAAGAGCCAAGGCTGATTCCTGGGAGAAGTTCGGTGAGGTGTTGGAGTCGCATTTCCACACGGCTAACAAAGTATTCTGGCAAACCTTCCGCCGGCTCCAAGATGAGAAGAAGGGTAGTCTCAGAGTCTTGAAGGGTAGGGCTAGGCAGCCTCTTACCAAGGATGATGACATTCTTCGGCGATGGAGGGAGTACTTTGAAGAACTCTTTAATCCCGCCCAACCGCAGGAAGACTCGCCTGTAAAGCAGAAGGGTACAGTTGTTACTTTCTCGGTAAATGAAATTACACTAGGTGTGAAAATGTAAAAAAATGGAAAGGATTCTGTAACTGATGAAATACGCCCTGAAACGCTCAAGACACGAGGGGAATAAAGCATGTGCTGGCTAACACGTGTCTCTCAAACTGCGGGAAAGACACAAGCGGACTGGAGAACGGGAGTTATTGTACCCGTATTCAAGCAGAGAGACCACAAGGAATGCTCCAATTATAAAAGAATTACGTTGTTGAACCTCTCAGGTGAAGTTTACGCAAAGGGTTAGAAATGAGGTGCCGTGAAATAGTTGACGTCAAGATCCAAGAAGAGCAGTGTGGCTTCCGGCCCGGTCGAAGCACCTCTGGCCATATATTTGCCCTGCGCCAGATTGTTGAGAAATAGTGGGAGTATGCCCAGCCGGTGTACATGTTTTGTGGAAATAGAGAAAGCGTATGACCGGATCACACACGACAGTCTGTGGTCATGCCTTCGGGCGCATGGGATAGATGGCCAGCTGCTAATAGCTGTCTAATCACTGTATTCCGATTGCAGGTGCTGCGTCAGAGTAAATGGCGTTAAGTCGAAACTATTCAACGTTTGCAGTGGTCTCCGCCAAGGCTGCGTCCTGTCCCGTATCCTGTTTGTTGTACATGGATAGAATAGTCAGGAGCTGCCAGGGAGATGAGGGAAACGTAGGACATGTGAAATCGAGAAGGTTGCTGTTTGCAGATGAACTTCTTTTGCTGGCATCTTCTGAAGCTGATCTTCAGTGCTCCCTAGAAAGGTTCGCAGCCGAGTGCGACGTGACCGGCATACGTATAAAGGCATCTAAAACGAAAAGCGTAGTAAAAATATAGAAAGCCTAGCTTTCTCGTTCTCCTGCTCGTCGCTCTCTTCAGATTAATGGAGGTGGAATGGAGCAGTTGGAGAATTTCAAGTCCGTTGGAGTCGTATTTACAAGTGATGGAAAATTTGAGGAAGAGTTCGACCGGCCAATTGGAATAGCCAGCGGCGTTCTGCGTGAATTAGCCCGATCCATTTGACTAAGGCAGAGCTCAGTCTGGAAACTAAGCTCTCGGTGTTTAAGTCCATCTTTATTCGCATGCTTACCTCGGTCATGAATCGTGGATCATTACTGAAAAGTTTTGCACC